AACCTTCATATTCTTCATATTATTGAAGTGGAGCTTTTTACATTTTATTCCTTGACTTCTCGTTGTATCTTCATAAGAATAATGTGATTTTGAGGGAAGTGTTGAAAGGTTTGAATGTGGTAACTAAACATTTACAAAAGATCTTTAGCCTGAAATATGTAAATATATTTCTGTCAGTGGTTCAGATAGCAGTGTTTAATTTTGCAGAAAAATTGCAAAGGTTTCTTTTTATTTTTTATACTGAATTTATGTTTTGATGAAAAGCACTTCAGGAAGTAGAAGAAATTATTTATTTTTAAAACTCTCTTAATATGGCATCTTAGACATTTTGCAAAGGGTGTGAAAGATAAGGTTACCAGTCAAGAATAATGTTTTACAACATCATTACCCTGATAACACCCAAAGCAGCTCTCTTTGAATCATATAATTTGATATATATCTATATTTTGAATCAAATAATATCCTCCTTGGTTATGCTAATTTTGTTGTGTGATATTTATGTAGGCATCAAGAACTACTTCACTGAAACTCAGCTAAGAAACCCTATTGCTTTCCAAAAGATCAAGATTTGACTGGTTTGGTTTCAAACATACCTTGATATTTCATTTGTTGTAAGACTATACTCAGTTCACAGATTATTAAAAACTCACTCCTTTATTACTCTACGTTATCTACACATTGAGTAGAAAAGAAACCCCAAAATATTTCTTTGCAACTTTTATTGAAATTTCACATTAGTGGAAGTTTTCTTGCAGAACACAAAAACAGAAGAGGAGGAGAATATACCTTATGTCTGTTGTGCAGCCATATGTAAGCACAACAAAAATAGCCAGTGGCTGGTACATTTATCACCATTTCTAGGCACAGACTTGACAAACCTTTACTACTATGTGGAGTTCTGGGCCCCAAGATTTAAGAAGGGTGTGAAGGTCCTTGAATGTGTTCAAAGGAGGGCAACAAATCTGGTGTGAGGGCTGGAAGGCATGTGCTGTGTGGAGCGGCTAAGGGCTTTGGGCTTGTCTGGTTTGGAGGAAACAAGAAGACTGAGGGGTGACCTCTTTACTCTCTCTTCCTGAGAAGGGGAAGTGAAGAGGGGGGTGAGGATCTCTTCTCCCTGTACCCAGTGATAAGATGCGTGGCAATGGTTCAAAGCTGCACCAGTAGAGGTTCAGACTGAACACTGCAAGCATTTCTTTGTTGAGAGGGTGGTCAAACACTGGAACAGTCTTTCTAGGGACATGGTCAATGCCCCAAGCCTATCTTCTTGCCATTACCATTTTCCACTACTTTCTGACTTGTGCTGTAGGGTTTTTTTTTTACTTTCCTGTCTCTATTCCCAATTTTTACTAAAGTCTTCTGGTCCTAGTAAATCCCTAGCCCTTCACAGACTATGTACCTGTCCCTACCACAGACGCCTGTGTAAAATTTTTACAAATAAGTATCAGTAAAACTGAAGCATTTCATGAAGCTGCATTATTTTTACCAAATTTTTCATTTAGGAATATTAAAAGGTTAGGAACAAAATGAATTATTTTTCTTCAGCACTTTTAAATACCAGTTTGAATTTCTGGGTTTGTAATAATTAGTTCTTCTTGGTTTAAAATGTTCTTTAACACCAGTGAAAATCATTTTAAAAACAAAGGGTTTATTCCATATTTTTTTTTAACAGTTCATCATGCTACCAACATTTCAAAAGCACTGATTTGGAATTGGCCTTGAACATTTTTCCAACATTTTAAAAGGGCTGTAAAATTTAAAAAAAAAAAAATCCCTTTTCTCCTTATTTTTACACCCTATAATCTGGGTACCTTGAACTTCCCACACAGCATCAACCTTTTGTGCTTTCATGTAGGAAAAGTCAATGTTTAATCATAAAAGAGTTTGAGAGTCTATATTAAGAATACAATCTAACTTGGTATCTGCTGTTTGAGATCCTGCACGCTATGAATTTCATACAGTAGGAATTAAAATCTGGTATAATTTCATGACCCATATCACCTTCTCCCTCACAGACTCCAACTGTGTGAAGTTATTTCCATAAAGAAATGTGGGGATATTGTAGGAAGCAAACTGGATTTACCAACAGTGCAAAGCTGTGGTGAATATTACATCTAAAGCCAACTCCTCTTATTATAGATATGTTTAACACTTCCTGAAAATTCCCTTCAAAAAAGTAACAGTAATTTTCATCAGCTCTGGGAAAAGAGTCATCAAGTATCTCCAGGTGTAATGTATTTTTAGTAGAACCACCCAAACTGTTAGCCACAGTTGTGAACTCTGCTGAGGAAGTCTCTCGGTGCTGCAGTGGCAAGCTATCTGCCCACAGGCAGTTTGAGTGCTCCAGATAGAGGTGCAAGACCTTAAAAAAAAAATCTAAAGCCATGCCATAAACAGTAAGCATTTTTAAAAATCATTTTTGCCCAGTTTGGAAAGGACTGGAATAATAGAAAGAGAAACAAACTGTTCTGAGAAAGGCACAGCCTGAGGAGGTCAGCTTTGCTGCACGGTCATTGATCTTCCCCTACTCTACCTCTCATTTTCTCACGTAGGCACTTACCTAATTCTGGATCTGCAGAAGCCCCTTGGCTTTTCTCTGCTCATGCTCTGCCTCCCTCACTCCCTTTATGCTCTCCTAGCAATTCCCAGGAAGTTGATTTCCAATAATCACCTAATTTCCTGCATGAAGCGGCACAGGACGCCCCAAGACTCCCATCATCTTGCATGACCACTTTTAGCATGCTCAGACTTGTAAAGTCCTGCTGCTTTCTACCCTTGTAGACACAAAGGTTAACGGAGATTAAGCAACTTTTCTTAATTGTCAAACTCAAGCCATGAAACTGGGAAAAGAGGATTTATAAGAAGGACATTTACAGCCCTCTTACGTTTCCCCCCATTAAGGGGCAGATCTGAGATGAGAAGTCCAGACTGGCTCCAAAAGCTGAGCTCTGTCAGAACAGACTCCTTTTAGAGATAGTTTCTTCTCCTAGAAATATAGGAGAACAAACAAGTAAACAAACAAAACTCCAGCCACGTTGGACACATTTCCTGCATGCTCAAAGATCATCCTGCCTAAGCACAGTAGTACTGACAGCCCCTGGCCAGGCCACAGCAACATCATCCAGTCCTGCTGGAAATGCAGCAGGTGGTAACCTCTGCAAGGGAGATAAAGACTTGGAAATGGCAGTGATTTGTACCCTACAGAGATAAAGCAGAGTCACTGTATTTTTTTTTTTTCTATTTGTTCACTCAGCTTGAGTAAAGCCATTTGGGGAACTTTTTGTTTGCTTTTTTCATTTTATTGCTCTTATCCTTCTACATCAGACAAGACTAAAACCTTGCTACGAATGAAAATATGGAGCTGAAAGCCTTTTTTTTTGTATGCACAGAGTGAGAGTTCCACTGTGCAGACTTGCATCTCTCTTTGCCTATATGAAGATGCAGCAGGGCCAAAGCACAACTGTCACCCCTTGAACTCTCAAGCTGGCAGTACAAAATAGGTTTTCTTCTACACTCAGTGAATTTGGGGTTTCTATGTATATATTTCTATCTTTTTACTTCTCAGTAAATATGGATGGTCTCAGACAAATAGAGAAATAAGGCAATAAAATATCTGGTTTGCTGTCCTAAATTTCATCTATGTATAATTTTAAGGCCTTTGCTACATTTCTTACTCTCATTTATTTCCCTCACTCTCATCAGTAGGTGTGGATAGGAGGTTTACCTACTGACTTGCCAGTTGTATTTGTTCAACAGCTCTAACTCAATGACATCATTTATTAGAAAGATAAATGAGAGCAATTAAGCATCATGGCCATAACTGGTGAAACTTTCTGCAAAGAGAGCATTATTAAAATGACAGAGTGCTTGTCTGTGCCTGCCCAAGGTGTATGATTCAGCCTTTATCCTTTGCCTGGTGGAGTGACCCCCAGCAGCACGCCTCATGTGCATTGTTTCTATAGGGCTATATATAACCTCTCCTGTAAAATAACAATGTCTATTGATTGATGTCCATTTAATTTTTAAGAGCCATCTTCCGCTATGTTATTTAGAGTTAAACAGGACAGCTATTAAACATTACTCTTTAGTTAATGTTTGTTAAACTACTCACTTGAATAACCTCCTCAGATGCTGATAAATGGCACCTTCACAAAGAAGAGCTGTTACTTTTTCACATAATATACTGGTGTTTAAGGCTTTTTATAGTATATCACATGCACAGCCTCACTCTGTCATTCAAAACTCGAATGACATTTTATTAAAACTGTTTCTTTTTAATCCTATCTGGCTAATGTTTCCAATAATTTTTAATAGTGGGTTTGGAGGAAGGAGGAAAATTGCCCTGAGGAGAGGAAACTCCCTTCTGCCAAACCAAACAACTAAATTTCAAAGTAGGGCTTGTTTCCCTTAAAAAATTCAGTTCTCTGATTTAGGCAGAAAAGTGGCTGTAAAAGTGTAGAAAGAAACTAAAAGCAGGAAAAATAAGACCATCAAAGGGAAAAAACTAGGAGTAATACAGGGAAAGAGAGGTAAAGATGGTCAAATACAGTCTGAAGGAGAAAAAAAAAAAAAGGCAAGAGAGAGAGAAAGGAACTAGAGAAGGTGCTCCAGACTTCCTGCAGTATCACCAGGTTATAGGACTGAGCTGTAGGACAGTAGCCTTACCAGTCTGAGGCATCCCTGCCTGCTCCTGCCTTCCTGCAGTAGGGATGTGATCTGCAACCCCAGTGTCAGGAAACCCTATCATCTCTCATGGGACATGATCCCAGCATGGGAGCCCTGTAAGGCTTCTTGGGAGTCCTGGTCTGGCTACAGACATGCTATATATGTATTGAGCATATATATGCATTGAAATGCATATAGATGAAGCAGCTGTGATGGCAGATCCTTGCCCTTTTTAGATGTCATAAAGTAAATGTATTGCACAGGCTGGCAAGAAAATGGAGACAATGTCCCTCTACTCTTGGATCCAAACGCTTCATTTTATAGAGCATATGATTTACCTGTGGTTTGTATCCTTGAAGGCACTGCCTAGAGCACGGTGCCCAGAAGCCTGTTTCCAACATGGTTCCATTGCCAGGAATGTCAGGGAGGTTGAAATGGGAGCCAGGACCAGTGGGGTAGTGCAAGCTGAGGCCAGCTGCATCCTGGTCCCCAAGGGCTGCCTGGGAGAGGAAACCTGAAGCAGAGCATCATTTCTGAGGAATCTCTTCCAGGTGTGCAAGGAGGGAGACAACCCTGGGGTCTCAAAGCCAGAGAAGAAAAAGAGGCAAATTAAGGCTGAATTTGAAAACCAGACAGATACCTACTTTGGAAAGATTTTACAGATATGTTAAGCAGAATTTAGAGTAACCTTCCTCTGAAATGCTGCTCGTTTTTCTACATGGCAGGATATCCTGAATGCATTTATTGCCATCCTTTCTATCCCTGCCAAGCCTGCAACAGTGGTGAGCCTGTAGTATGAAGGTGCAGAGAAAGATGGAAATGAATTAATGCTTTATTCTTTAAGGGTGTCTTAAGGAGTTGTCCACAGACTTGAAAGGTGTCAAAGGTTAAGGAGAAAACATACGGAAGGGTGCTGGGGAGAGGTGATGTGTTTACAATGCCAGAGAAGGTGTGGAGGGCAATGGGATAGGGGCAGCCAAGGTATGCGAAGTAAAGAATAAATTTTTATGTGCTCAAAAACATGCCTAAGTGATGAGAAGGACAATGCTAAAACAGACACAAAATTAATCACCTTCAGAAGGGATATAAGAATAACCATGCCAGGTCAGACCAACAGTCCATCTAATTGGCCTCTGACATGTCACAGCAAGATTTAAAAAACAATATTAAGTCATCTCCTGCACTGGAAATAATGTCCTAGCCAGGATGAGCAGGCAATCGGTGTTTTGTACTGTAGGATAGGAGTACTCATACTGTTAGGAAATAATTTATTCTAATGTAATGTGACTGAATGCTCTCAATATCCTCAGAAAGGCTTTATACATTTACTGAATCCTGCTGATTTCTGGCTCAGTAATATCTGTGAAAAAAAGTTACACTAGTTATTAAGAAGTTACATAAAGACAATGTTTAACTTTGGTCACTGTTAAACTATCTGCAATTCAGTTTCGTGTATTGCTCCCATTTTATGCTATGTTTGTGGGGAAATTGTTGCTTCTCTAACCTCCACTTTTTGCTTACCCATCCAATAGTTATCTTTCTCTTCAAGGAACCAGAACTTCTTTGTTGTCTATGGTCAACAGTTTTGTTTGCTGTTGACTTAAGCCAAATAAAAAAGCAAACTCAACCCTTGTATTTCATGACAGGAGAAAACCAAGAAGAGGGCAGTGGTTGTTGCTGTTATCGAGGATACACGTTTGCCATGTGATGCTATAAAAATGCACAACCCCATAATATCCATCCTTCCTGTTTCCTAGAGGAGATGATATGCTGGAAAAAAAATGGATTCTACAATGAAAGCCAATATACATGGTCTGTGTTTCCCCAAGTGTATCTGCATCTTTTAAATCAGACAGCCTCTGGCATGCAATGAAATCAGTGTACCTGTGTCAGAGATGAACAAATTAATAAAGAAAACATCTTCCTTCTAGGGAAAAGTATAACATATATATTAATTTTGAGTTTATAAGGAAGTTCTCACCTGGTTACTTCTGTCATTCCCTTTAACCTTGGATAGTGCCTGTCACATCTCACTTGACCTGCATTATAGATGAGTTCCTAGTCCTCAAAGACTGGGGAAGTTTCCACTCTTACCTGTGAAAAAGTTGTAGATACATAGATGCTGAAGGATAGGTACTGCACATGGAATAACTGAGTGCCCAGCTCTAAAATGGGATTTTATTTAGACATCCTTCAGCTGAATGTTTTCTTCTTATTGCTGTGAAAGAAAAAAAAAAAAAGGTTGGATTATTCTTTTTCAGAAACATGTTGATAATGTGAGCCCAGGATAGGATGATTTGTCAACAAATTATAGCACAGGTTATTTCATAGAGAGTTCATTCAATAGCAAAATTTCATATGTTTGTACCAAGCCATCACCTCATCACAATACATTCCTCTTGCAGTTAGAATTTACCTTGTGCAGCTAGAATTTGTCCTGCACATTGAATAGATTTTCATTAAAAGATTTTAAATAAACCTTATCTTTTCTCAGTAACAATGAAGAGAAGTGGGTGTCACATTTTGCCTTTCACCTCCATCCTTGTGCATTTTGATGTAAGGCAGCAGAATGCCTTATTTAATTAAATAGGAATCTGGATTAACTCCAGCTGTGGGCCATGCAATCAGGGCTTGTGTGTGTTCAAAAAGGGGTGCTTTCCCTGGCTCATATTTCATTCTGGCATGGAAATCTGCTCTCACTCAAACCTGTCCACGTGCTGCAGCAAGTGATCTTCCCTCCCTTCTGAATCATACACTTAGGCACCCCCCACTACAATTCTTTGAAGAGAAACAAAAAAGCAAACAAGCTTGGCTTGTCCACTTACACTAGGTACTATTTAATGATAAAGGGCTTTACTTGTTCATGTATAAATCTAACATTTATTCAAGTTTATACTGTCATGACTGTAGGATGTCTTGTACTGTTTTATTCAGATTCTCTCCAGATGACCAAAATTTAATTGTCTGGTGCCAATCTCTTAAGATGAGCTTGATGCTCAGAAGTAGTTTTACCTTTCCTTAAATAGGCATATCATCATCATGAATGACAGGCACACTTTCAGTTCTTACTACTTCTCAAAGTATTTTTGCTACCACTCAAATGATAAATGTTATATAAAATAAACATGATAAATCTGACTGAAGTTGCAAATCTTTTTCTTTCCTGATAGAGGAAAATTATCACAGACCCATATATGCATTTTGGAGAGAGTCTACTACACCCACAATATCTATGTGTTCTCAAGTCTGAATATGAGTGTGCAAATGTGTGTATAAATTAATGAACTGACACATCCATGAGAATTCGTGATATATTTGATTTTCAATAGTCTTTCTGAGTATGTACTTTGCCCCTTTAGATGTCATCATCGATCCATGTGGTGCTTTTGACAGAATATGTCTCAACCAACAGAAAAGACAATTGTCAAATGATGTTGCTCATTGTTCATTTTCTTAGACTGGAAATCTTTTTGCAGTAATTTGATATGGCAAGTTTTCTCAGGCTATAAGCAGAGATTCAGACTACAGATGATAATGAAAACTAAATCAGAGTTCACCATGCATAAAAGGTTCTGAAACTTTGAATTTTTAAAATTTTGTAGCTTGTGTGGAGGTTACAGATGGGTAAACTCAAAACGTTTGGCCTTACCACAATATTAGATTTTCTGGCCAAACATTACCTGCCAAAACAAACTAGAAATAAATAGCTCACCATTTTCAGCAGAACAGAGCCATTTTCCCTCCGTTTTTTATTTCTCTTTTAGTCTTTCTTCCAATCCATCAGCATGAAAAGGCTGTTGAATGAAATTCTATAAATACATCCAATTATTTTAGACTTTCTAATAAATTCCTTCAAGGACATTGTAAATGGCAATTTTGATCACCATAAATTTCCTATTTGTTGTATAGGAATATATAGTTGCATGTGGCAGGATATTTCCTTGTATCCCATAATGTATCCTGTAATGTCTCTGGGGAAACTGAAATTTTAGATCTCACTTTCTTTCGTTCTTTGTTGTTGTTGTTTTTTTTTAAAAAGAAGAAGTAAAATTTTTCTCATTTTCTTTTTTCTCTTCAGGGTGTTATCTAATTAATTTCTTGCTGTTGTTCTTCACTGATTTTCCACCTACCCTTCATGCCAGTCCTTACAAAGAAACTAGTCATTATGGTACTGTCTCTATAACATTTCTCGTCAAGACAGTGGGTGAGAAAGTTTTAATGTCAGTTCTAGAATCTGCTCTGATGAGATTCTAATTAAGTTGCCAGTATAGAGAAAATTAGAAAATCACAGCAGTTTAAAGCTTAACCTTCAAGGAAGCTTGAGCAGATATGAATAACGTTATTTCTGAAAGGCAGTGTGAGTGCAGTTGCGGGCGCTAATGTGAAGCGATGCGTGTTCAGTACATCATCTTTCCACACTGTGAAGTGGAACAAGTCATAGCGCAAGTGTATGTTTAAGTGCTTGAGGATCGAAGATATACTCTTATTCTTGAAGGAAAATGTGGTGACAAAGGCAGTTTAAATGAAATCATATGGTCAAAAGTACCCTTATACCTTTTATTTGTCTCCAATCCAGGTCATGGTTGGGCTGCACCTACATCATTTCACTGTTACCAACTCTCACCAGCCATAAACAACCAGACAAGTTTGTATGACATATGAATATTTGAAGTAAACTCAGATTTATGATTACACTTCTATCTAGTTTCTCATTCTGGATGGAGAGCTGTTTGTCTCAGATTTTACATCATGTTCACGATTCTAATTTTAGCAGCATATATATAAGTTGTGGCAACTACATATATGCTTACACTCCACTCATTTGAAGACGAGGACATCTAAAGCAAACTTTAAGTGAAAACCTGCCCATCCACATTTTTATGTATTATCATTTTATCCTTATTCTGAGTGAATAAACATTGGAACTGCTCTGTACAGATATACCTCAGTGATAACTTGCAGCTTTAACAATACTCCAGATTTTTGCCTCCACCTCTGTTTTTAATACTGCTGTGGTTTTCAACCAAAAAACCAGTGCAAGTCAGCCAGGCAATCCCATGACAAACTCCACTAAGGACTTCACAGTTAACAAAACAATGAATGAAACATCATTCTGGCACACAGAGCAGCTTTCTGCTGTCTTCTACCGCCTTTGCTTTTTTTTTTTCCCCGAGTGGAAAAGCAACTTCAAAAACAAGGTGCTGTCATTTTAGCAAAGGAGAATTAGGACTGTGAAAGGATGAAGTGTCCTTGCACAGAAAGACTGCAGCTAAAATTGTATCAATATTCCTGTTATAAACTGATAAACACAGAGCTCCGTGAGGTCAAGTTGTACATGCTTGAGCTGACATGCCAATCTGCCAGCAGTCATATGGTTCTCATATGGCGACACGCCACAGATGCCAGGAAAATGTGAGAAGTTTCTGGCTCATTTCATTTCACTCTCCTGAATGCCATGTTTGCCTGCACACACACACACACACACACACACACACACACACACACACACATACACACACACAGAGTAGATTTTCTATTTTAAATAGAGCTGTTATAGCCCGTGTATTCCCATTTTCTTAAAGGATATGTGATAACTCACCCAAACTGATTCCTGAGACTTCATAGCAAGACTTGTCTTGGAAATGAGAGCAGGTTTTTTTTTTCTTACAAGCCTTCAAAACACTCCCCTAGCCATTTTTAAATGACATCAAAAGACAGAATTAGAAAAAGAGACAGACAAGATAACAACACATCATATGCGGATGCATTTTGCACTCTTATAATATACATTTAGGGAAAAGAATCTGAAAAGTTTTAGTTGTCTCAAATGAGACATCATCTAATCTCTAACAACATTAAAACAGCTCTTATTAATGCTTGAACAGCAGCAAGTATTTCTTTCTTTGGTTCTGTTTCTTCAATGTGCATTTTTGTATCAAAAATATAATGCCTCTATCTCATGGACTACATGATAGTACAGTAACAATTGTCTACATTCACGTTTGGTAAACAGACCACAATTATTCATTGAGTATATAATGCACAATTTACAAATTGTTGAAATATGTATTTCCGCATCAGACCATCTTTCAAGCTTTTACATTCTTTTATGTCAGGTTCAATTGTCTTCAAGATGAATTGTTTTCCTTTTCCTTCTTATAAACTGTTACTAAAGGGAAAAGGCTAAGACAAATATAACTATAGCCATTTTTAATGAAAAGATTGCTTCTACAACTGAGAGCGTACACTTCACCCTTGCCTCACCAAGTCCTGCTACTGTGATTTTAAATTAACTTACTTCAAACTGTTAATGGAAAAATATAAACTGGTTTTAGGCTTAATACGTGAAAAACAAGAAATTCACAATGTATGTGTGTGTGTATTTGTGTGTGTGTGTCTCCACACACATGCAACTATACAAGGAGTGGTGATTTCTCCATGCAGGACCGTGTTTGAAATTAATTCACCTCTGTCGCCTCACCTACCTTTGTCCAGAAATCTACCTCTTCAAGAACATTAAAATACCACATTTCTGACAGCCTCAAATACTTCAGATCAGTCTATAGGGAAATAATTTCTGTTTTTCCAGTTTAAAGTCTTTCCTCCTTAGGATTACACTTTCTAAAAGTTCAAGAACAGTAACTTTCTCGTGCGAAAAAAGGCTAGCATTTGGTAGTAATAGCCTCTAAATTTACAGAACCTGAACTAAAAAATTCAGAGAATTCTCTGTGCTCTGAAGATGTGAACACTTCAATAATAAACATTTAGATTTTTTTTTCATTTCCATTTACATGTCACTTGTAAATCGAGAGAGGAAGGTCAGGCATTAAGACAGTAGCCTACAGTTAAGGAAAAGCAGCTTTGACTCCTTGCTTGGCCTAAAGTTTCCTGCACAATCCTGCTCCTTAGTCTCTAATTAACTTCCCCCCCATCCCCTTCCCCAAACCTGTTAAGGTTTGGCACTTGACCTATAAATGTAGGGAACCAGGAATGCTTCTGATATTGTGGGTTCAAATTAATGTCCTATCAGCATCCTGGTGCTGGAGAAAAGCCCTTAATGTTCTTGCCAGCACCCTAAGTTTCACGGAAAAATGAGTGCAGATGCCAGTGAGAGCATAGTTGGGCTTTGGTGCGGTCCCACATCTTGTCAACAGGGAGGCCATGACCTCAGGGCAGGGCACGTCAAATACCAGAGGTCAAAGTCTCAGCTCCTGGCGTGCCTCACGTGGATGCACAGACAAAAAAAAAATAAAATGTGATATGAGAGTTCTGCAGATCCTGACATGACTTCTGTTAAGTATCTGAAAGACAAATACTAGTTGTATTAAAACTAAACCAAATATTTTCCCTACTAAGTCGGGGAGCACTACTGCAATATGCTTCAGTAACAAATTCCTATTTTCCTTCCTTCAAACCATGGTTTTAATATTGCTTGCATAGGTCTTTCTATTTTTTTCAGGGTCTTACCTAGCTTCTCAGGCTTGTCAAGGTAACTGCCCCATAGAGATTGCTTCAAAAAAAAAGGCTGTTCTCAATAGAATGATGAAACATTCCTGAAATATTTTTACTTGCAAGTATCATCAAAAAACAGTACTATGTGAAACAAGAGTCCTCAGTACAAGTTTGGAGTTTCCTGTTCATCTTTTTCTTGAGGTCGATATCTGTGAAAAATGTCACAAACACAAACTTGGATCTACAGTCCTTTTTAAGAAGTCTTTTTTTTTGGCCTAGTATATTTACTCAATGGACCCTTGTTACTACAATAAAAATAATAAAGAAGCTGAGGAACAGAACCCCAGTTTGTTTGTTGCTCTCTAAAACACATATATTTGCACAAATGTTTTGGAATAAACATTTGTGTTTGTGCTTGCGCAGCAATTAACAGATTGTAAATACCATCCAAAGTACACCATTCTCTTAGACTTATTGCATACACAACCCCTACTTGGATTTTGCTACATAAGACTTGGGTCTTGATTAGATTTCCTTTTATTGTTAGCCATCAGTGAAGATAAAGGAGTTCTTAAATGCAGTCAGTCTGATTTAACTCAATGTACTTCCTCTTGAGATTATATTAATGGAATCAAAACAGCAGCAGTTTCAAATATTGATTTCAGCATTGGAGACATTGTATATTGTGTATGTGCTATCAATACTATGACCTCCTCCTTCCAGTGATCAGAACAGTTTCTGTACCCAAACAAATGAAAATATTAGAACGTAATTCAGATGACAACAAACATTGTAGATGTAGCTCTATCTTAATACTCCAATCATAATTTTTTTTAACTTAATTTGTCAAGTTCATAACTATCACTTGAAACTTGCTGACAAGGAACCTGATAACACATCATATCAAATTCCATTTTACAACTGTTTCCTTGGAAACACAGGCATAAAAATGGGCCATGCACAATGGAACAAAATCAAAGAAATTAAAATAAACCTTAAAGAATTCCCATTAATCAGAAACTCTTTGCTTTGTTAAAATTCATGAAAAACCAGGGTTAATGAGTCTTACAATAAGAACATCATTGGTCCCACATTGCCATAGACCCTACTTGTTTTGGTCCCAGTCCATCAAATCACTTTAACATGTATGCAACTTTAAATGCATGAGATATCCCACTCAAAGAATGAGTCATGTACTTAAGGTTATTCATGGACTTAAGAACTGCACAAGAGGTGGCTTTGTCTCCAGAGGCTCACTGGTTATTAGAGAGAGCACATATACACAGACAGATATATATATATATATAGATAGATAGATAGATAGGTATATATGCACATTGCAGGCTATGCATACCTCCTTGGAAGCCATGCTCAAGAATAAAAATAACATATAAAATCCTCAAGTCTTCATATACCATAAGTTATGACTTCTGATTATTTAAAACCATGAGAAGATAACTGGATAAAGGTAGGAAGACATTAATTTTAAGCAATCTGTTTATATAGGGGTATAAATTTTATTTAACATAAAAATTGCATGCCAGTTCAAGAAGAAAAATGACTTTTTTTGTTGACCTTTGGGATTTTCTTCCATAGGTTTGAAGTGACTTTAGAGTAAGATTGTAGGTCACCTGAAAGAGAACTGTGCTGAGATTTACAGCTACCTTTCTAAAAATTTCCTGCCCATAAAGTTTGGTTTTGTAAATTATCAAGCAAATCAACGGTTTTCCTCCTTTTTATTGTAATCATTATGATAAAGATGGGTATGTAGATTTTTGTGCTTGCATTTGAGACCTAGCGCATCAGATTTATATGGCAGGACTATCAAAATGTAGATATTATGCTGGCAAATATATTCTTTCTCCAAGTAAAACAGTTACTATGTACCAAATAACATGTTAATTCTACCACTCCTAGGATTAAAAAAAAAAGCAATCTGATCAGAGGCTTTTCAGAATACCATTCGTCTTTTTTTCCCGTCTACATTTAGGTAAAAATGTTAAGAATAAAGAGGGAATTTCCCTTGGGGAGTTTATTCCATATTGTACATCGAAAAGTATCTCCTGTCTTTCTGTAATATAAGTGGTACCAACAATTCATTACTAACTGATAACAAAATCTGGTTATTATACAGTATGTTCAAAGATTTCAGATCTTAAGGTATTTTGCAAAGGAGTTATTACAGTCTCGTTTCTACAGACAGGAACACTGATGTACAAACCAACTTCTCATCAGAATTATTTATTCCCCACAGATCTTAGATTTGCACTGAGGTATTTTAATTTCACAGATTTTTCAAGGATCTCACAGCAATTGGACTGTAATGGATATCTTACTTGACCTAGGCGCAGTAAAGAAGAGATAAAACTTAAGCTTGCAAAGGGAAAGATATCTAATATAAAGAAGAAAATAGGTACCAAATGCTGTTGAAAATGAAGCCCCTTTAGTGTGGGTGCTTCAATTTCAGCATACAAGTCCTGAGACAAGGAGAGAAAATTCATAAATACTCGAATGTTCACTTTTTCTGCCTTTTCTCTTTCCCCATATAGTAAATAAATGTTAAAAGTACTCACCTATCTCTCATGAAACTTTTTTCCCAGTACTTTTGCCTCATTAGTAGAAAATGTGGAATATTTTAATCACAGTTTTGTACTCATAAGAATTTATAACCAGATATCATATAGTTGATATTTCTTTGGTAGTATACATCCACCTTTCCAGAGTTCACCTCCAGTTTTAGCAGTTTTTTCTTATATCTCTTAATGAAACCAAACCTTCCTTCCCCAAAAATCATGACTATTAATTTTTTCTTGAATCTTATCTATTCTTTGCATAGCACGTTGACCCTTAAACTTTCGAGATAAAAACTATCTCTCACTAAATATTTGTAAAATCTCTGCTAACCCTCACATCTCCTTGACACAAGTTAATGCATAAGAATTTGCATTAATAATTTCAAAACTCCAGAATCTGTTTCCTTTTTTTTGTTGTTGGGTTTCCTTTGCCTATTGTTATGTTTACTTTCACTTCAACAGCAGCCAGCTGCGGCAAATCTGATTTCCAGAGCCTTAGGATAAATGACTGAGGGTGTAAAACTTCTCAAAGTCACTTGAAATTGAGTTATTTATTATCTATTCCCTTATTCTTGTGTAGAGTGGTACTCTATTATTGATGTTCTCAAATTTTTTTTACTGCTGTTTTCCTCCCATGATTTCTGGCAAAATTTGTACATATAAGTGGAATACTGTGTGATTTTTGTTAAAGTTAAACTTAAATCAGGTATATATAACATGAAGAAAACCATGAAATGCAGTTGCTAGTTGTCACTGTTGGCATAAATTCAAATTGGCCAAGAAGGGACGCATGGGAAAGTGTTCTTCTTAACTGCCCTCACAGTTAAATGTGAATGCAGTTTCAGTGTTTACTAACTAAAGGTTTAGAACAGGATTTGAAACTGTTTTAATAGAATTCAATAGCAATTCGTGCCAACTGTAGAGAGAATCCTGAGAGTGCCCAGTTTCTTTATTTCATAGGGCCTAACTTTACATAAAGTTTAATGCTCATTCTTGGAGATCTTCTGTGAACCAAAAGAATGTTGTTACTTGCACAGTAGAGAAATACCTTTGTATTTCTTGGTTGCTAATAGGCAGGCAAACTGAGGGTTCAACCCATGGATTTAATTTTAGTAGTTGCTAAAATATGGGTACATGCTTCAATGAAGAACATGTCTTCTCACAACTGCACATGGCTATCACGGTTTATAGCAAAAGTTACTGGTACTCAGAGATAATTTTGTGTTGAGAGATGTGCCAAAATCACCATGTATATGCTTGACTATTTCTGGAAAATTGTAAAATTAATCCCAGTTGAATATAGGATTTAATATAGAGCTGCCATCTCCTACCAGGGACTAGAGTGGTTTTTTTCTAGCATAGTGGCTTTTGGTCTCTTTCTAGTTATTTTCAAATTTTATCCTACAGATTGTGCCAAATAAGTGAAATGAACAGTTTCAGAAGGCTTTAAATTATGTTAGTAACTAAATATGTGTACATCAGATTTCTGTAAAAATCATAAGGCCTTTTTTCCCTGGAAGTCCAACAGAAAAGATTTTAGGGCTCCTGTTGGACATTTCAGTCTTTTTTTGAGACTTAGTTTTACTGAGATTTCTGTTGGCCCTCTTTCCTCACCTTGTTTCTTCCTCTGAAACATTTATATCTCAGGAGCTGAAACATTTATATCTCAGGAGCATGTAACATCACCCACCTGTGTGGGAACTATCAGCAGTGTGGGAGCTGCCTTTCACCTCCTGATCCCAAAGCAAATTGGTTTTCCAAATTCTCTGTGAGTTCTGCAGGGTAATGTTGTGGCTGCCCAAAATCTGTAGAAGGATCTCCAGTGTAGGATAAAATGATGTAGACTATCAGCAAAGAACTTCCTATGTTTAATGCTACAAGACTCCAGACCTCTTGGTATGACAGGAAAGAGAACTGCAGTCACTGTCCATGTAACACCATCAGGAATCTCCCCCTGCAAAATGTGGTTAGTATCAAATCACCAAAATTACACAGATAAACTCTTTTTTAAAAAAAAATCCACTGCCTCTCATGTCTCTTTTGTTACTTAGTTTCTGAACCTTCTTCCCTGTCTCTTGGTCCTTAAGCATTTAGCTAGTCACACTTTAAGGAGAGTGATTCACGACGACTGAGAAAGTCAAAAGTCACTAAATTACCAAAGGAATGAAGTATTAAAATAAAATCTCCCTAAAGGTTGTTGATTTCTAATTTTATGTACAGAGAGGAGGGGCGGTGGGGAAGGTTTTGCTTTTCCCTTAATTCTGCCATATTGTCTGATTCACAGCCGGAGACAAACTGAAATGGCCATCTGGTTGATGTGCATACAAAAGGAGTGGTTTGCCAGACAAAGAAAGTACCTTTTATCATACAAAGCAATGCATCTCCTCTTATCAGGCTTCCATTCTGTGGCTCTGGTGGAACTGCAGGTAGGTAGGAGCAGACCCTATATACCACCCAGATGTAACCCCTGCTGTTAAAATAGTAATGCAAGGACATAACAGTCCAAGGGCTCTGTGGTACATTCATAACATGAAATATACTGCAATCAAACTGAATATTTTCAGCTCCTGGTTTCTGATTTTAGCTAAACCATTCCGAGTTCACTTATTTTCTTCTATCACAGGAGCAATTATAGCATTTTATGTTCAAATAATGATTAGAAATCAGGCTGGGACCACTGTGTAAAAGGGCCTTTCTAAATAGGGACATGTTTTTTGTAGCTATTTAATACTGTCCACAAATGCATCTGTCTACTTTTTGGGATGGTAATTCTGTGTCCACATGCATAAAAGAAAAAATTGCATAAAAAAAATCGTGGTTTTGCCCAATATCAACTTTTGCATTTTTAATCAACACACCTGAATACTTTCAAATGGACACTCCATACTAGTTTGATTTAATCTATATTTTAGTTTATAATGCTAATTGCAGTGTATACACTACTCAGACAAGACATGTCCCAGAAATTTTAAAAGAAATATTGACAGTAGAATATTATGATAGCCATTCTGCTTTCATGGTGATAGCTGAACAGAGGTATGCAAGAAATTCATGTTAGTTCACATGCACAAGACATCTGCTATGTTTATGACTTATTTTCCCCCTCTATGAGGTACATTCATTAGATGAAAGACAGTCATATGTATGAAGCACTGGCATTGTTGATCAAAATCAATCCTTTATTTCAATTTTCTCATCCTCTCTTCTCCATTTAAACCTCCTACTCTTGATACTGGACTCTGTTGACCTCCTCTTAAGGGGGTTTTTCATTGCCTTTGCTGAGATGATAACTAGGGAAGTAGAACATCCCATTTCCCCATAAAGCTGTCCAGGGAACTGGAATGGAAATTGCCCTGAACTGCCAATGGAAGAGACTCCACTCCTGAGAGTGGGTTGTTTGATGCTGATATTCCCCTTCTCCCGATTTCCTTTCATTTTAAATGATTTGTAAAAAAGATTGAAGCAACATGTTTTTCTAACTAGAATGAGGGTCAAAGAGATAAAGCCAGCAGACAAACAAAAGGAGGGTAGGGAGTGATCCCACATTTCTAGGCATTGTTGGGAAGTTCATTTCCCTGGTATGTGGCAGGCATGGCAATATTATTAAATGTTCCCCAGGCAACAATTGCTAGGCTCCAAATTCTGTATTTTTATTCCAGAAAACAAAACATTTTCCTTTTACAATCAACATCCCTTCCATCAATACATAGCAAAATGAAAGCTGTTTCATTTCAGACAGTGACTTTCACTGTATTTATGCTGTTGTGATATAAGGTCATATTAAAACAAGGAACAATCAACTTAAAGATTGATCACAGAATATGGGAGTGTAATTACAGAAAATATTCCAGTAAGATTTTACAGGTCCAATGCATTATTTTGAAATAAATGTGCACAAAGGATGTCTTGAAAGATGTTACTGAATTGTAAGTGTCAGTCATGCAAGAAGTAGAGATTTAAAAGCAGTCTTTGTATTCACAGGTCCATGACACAAAGTCCCTATTTGGAATGCGATGAAAGAACATTCAAGGACAAAAGCGTTTCTGGCCCTAAATTTCCCTTCACTTCATTCAATTATCTAGAAAACCTATCCTTTTCTTCTCCTCATAATATATTACTTTAAATTTCTATGCATTAAGTGAAACTTCCCTCTGTTGGGGAAAGCCCTCCAGATTTCTCAGCCATACAGTGGCAAATTTCAATCGGGCCAGGCTTTTTTCCATTGATCTAATGCATGTGTGTATTGAAATGTGCTGTGTATTACGTGTCACGCATTGTCACCCACTGAACAAGAAGTAAACCCATTCATTATACTCAAACCAGTCTCTGAAGGTGATTTTACATTCCTGTTCCCATGCAGGGACCCCGTCAAGCCTCTCCTCCAACAGGAAATAGTGTCCTTGTAGAGATCCTCTGAAGATCATGGTAGGAGAAAACAAACTCTGCAATAAGGGCTCTCCTCACTGTAGGTGTGGGCTGGGGCTTGTCAACCAGATTGCCTGATTTGGACTTTGCCCTCTTTACCACAGGAACAAAGCAGACTTCCCTGCTACTCCCTTTGTAATCATCATGCGAAACAAACAGAAAATAAAATACAGTGAGGAGGTAGCCAAAGGCAGAAAATTACCGGGGTTTAGCTACAATTTAGAGAGATCCCAATTCGGTGTTTCTTGTGGCCAAGTGGATTTGCTTGTGGCAAATCTTAGTGACCAATGTCTAAATGTCTCACTATGCAGGTTGGTTGCCATAATAAAGATATCAGGTATTCAGATGTTTTGACAAGGTCCACACAAGAACCTCAAGCTTATAGTATTGTATTTATTATTTTACAATGTTATATCAGCTCTGTTTTGGAAACTGCATCATAGGAAATGCCCCTGCGATACTCAGATGTTTCCCTGGATTGTTGTTCTGAATGAACTGGACACTAGCAGCACAGTCAGCTGTAAGAAGATTCAGTTCTGGGAGAAGTTGCTCATACACCTGATCTGCTGTGCTCCCTGTTATCACATAACAGGAAAAAGCAGTGCAAGACCTTATAATCCCAATCAAACTTCTCAACTGAGAAAGTAGAAACCCTCTGGAGTTTATGTCTAAAATTCCCTCCTCGTTCTCCTAGCAGCACCTCTTTGTCAGATCAAAGTTTTGCCACTACCTCTTTATCCAACCCCCAGATTGCTGGAGCAGCAAAATACCATTTTGCCAAATCAAAACAATGGGCTTACACTGGGCCATTTCTGTCACAGTCTCTTGGCACCTGTGTACTCATGAGAGGGAGCATAGCTCT